TCATTTCACACTTTTTTTTTACATTTTTTGTTGGTTTTCCTGTTCCTTTTTTTGCCATGCTTTTGACTACTGCCCTACCGTGGGTGCAACAACAAAAACTAAAACAAAAATTACAATAATTCAATATTTAAATGCCAACTGAGCACATACACTCTACCTCATACTGCTCCCTCAGTTCCAAGTGATTTTGAAAACGGTGTTATACATATATATGTATGTAGATACAGATGTACATATACATGTTCACTGTTATATTTTCGCTCTGATTGCTGTTGTTGGTTGTCTACCACTGCATTGTTCATCTTAATATATTTATTTTGCATTTCACTGAATTACCCACAATTTACACCTCATAAACGAGCACACCAGGCAACAGCAACAATACCAGCAACACACAATGGACCAATGAATGTATTTTGCGGTTTGGCAGTGAGAGGAAATACAAAACACATAGTTCCTGTGTGTGTATGCGTTCAATATAATGGATAATTACAAAAGAAAAATGAAATTGAAAATAAATGTGAAAATGATTTAATACTAGTTACATAACTAGTCACAGTTGGTCCAAAGTCCAAAAGTGATATATTTCTTAACGATTAGTTTTTGGAATTATTTCAAAAGAGAGTTTTTTAAATTTTTTTATTACCTTAGGACTAGTATGATAAGGACTACACTAAAACTGGTACAGAAATTGCTAAGAATTATTAAGTTGTAAATGCGTATTTGAACTAGTTCCCTCATAAGTAGTTTAAAACTAGTTCAAAAGAGTTAGAATTCTAAGTTGGTTCCTTACTAATCAGTTAAACAGTGATATGTTGACAAATGCTTTGAGTATGCTATTTTTCACACATATATTCGCTGAAATATGTGGACCAAGCATCGAACTGTTCTCTTTATAACTAGTTGCCAACGATTTAGTATTGAACTAATGTCTTTTATATATTTTTCCAGCAGTCCATTCTATTAAAGCTTCCTTACACAGATTTTTAAAAGACCACTAAACTTTCCAAATGGTCATCAACTCACTAGACCAAATGCAACTAGTGCTGAATTAGTTTAATAGTGGTACAAACTAACAAAAATATCGATTTTTCTGTCCACCATACAAAAGTTGTGCTTATATGTGTGAACGTAATGTAAATCTAAAATCTCTGATCTAAAAATTTTCTAATTAAATTTAACAATGGCATTATGAATAGTCATTTGACTATGAGAGTGGCCGAAAGCTCTCAAATGGTACCAAACTACGTATGTGCATACATACATATATATATATTATTTATGTATTGTGTGTTGAAGGGTGATTTTCAATCGTTGTTAGCTCCGTTTATTAAATTGAAATATCAATTTTGGCTTTCAGAATGTCAACATAATTGAATTTGGATTTAGGTGAAAGATTTGAGCTTTCATCTGAGAGAAATCAATTAATGAGTGTGAAGAAAATGTAATGTAGGTGTTGTGTTGCTGAGGTCTTTTGAGGAGTTTTTATTTAAAAAATGGCATTAGCAGAATTTCCAAACTTTCATAATGTGACGCGTAGAGATTTCGTGGTCAGTAGTGAAAGGCTGATGAAAGCTCTGATCTTTTATTCAATATAGTAACTGCTACTGCTTCTAATTTTCGTTAGTATTTTAATAACTCAGAACTTATAAAGCTTATTTATTTTCTTTCAGTAAATTTTCCCAGCTTTCATAGATATTACAAAAACTTTTTTTCAAACCGGAAATATATTTAAAATCGCTACAAAATTGAAGAATAACACATTGTAGTTGTAAACACATTTCAATCTAGAATTTCCTGACGGCTAAAGACCTACTATTATTGGATTTATTAGAAAAAAAATAATAAATTTAAAATAATTGTTGAAAACACAGCCATATTGTGCAATTGCAGTAAAACAAGACAACAACAAAAAAATCTCAAATCGTTTATAATTGAATCTGGGGAAAACTGCCAGCTTTGCATACAAAGCAGAAATTCCATTGTTTGCTATTTTTTTCCAATTTTATTATACAATCAAACAACATATAGAAAAGCATATATATGAATATATTTCTACAAAAAAAATAATAACCGTACAAAAGAGAAATCGCATATCGAAGACAATAGCACGTCCATTTGCACACATTTTCCACTTAGTTGCGAATTTTCAATATCCACAATTTATGCTCACAACAGAAAGAACAGGGAAGTGAAATATATTCATTCATACTGTCCGATGGCTCTAAAAAAAATGCTATAAATGCACTGGTTTTTCACAAAGTACAAAAATTTCCTCCGAGTGAAAATATTAATTCTGAAAATCATAAAGAAATTAAATTTAAAAATAGTTAGCAGCACTTTTTGAGGTGAGAAAGGTTTTTTTTAGCTTGGAATAGTGCTAAAAGATGAAAATGTCGAGGTATACTAGACGCGGCATGGATTGTCAAACTGTGTTCTATCGTATTTCTGACATGAAATAAAAACTACTCACAACAATCCAGCGCCCATTCGTAGGCTACTCAGAATAAACTGTGGGTCCCTCGCTAAAAATCGCTTTTGCGGTTACAAAGTGCCAACTATATATATATTAAACGCCTAGAGAGGAGGTTTTTTTTTGTACTGTGCGTATTTGTTCTGAAAATTAAAAAGCTGTACCCCAAAGCCACCCTTTTCAGCAAGAAAAGTTGTATTTAAACTATTAATTGTCGAAAAACTCCAACTTTTCAAGTCTATTTCGTTCCATGCATGAAAAAAAATATCCCTGAAGTTATTCTGACCATTTTTCAATTTCAATTGATAAATTTATAGTTTGAAATTCTCATAACTTACAAAGAAATATACAATTTTCGTACCAGTGGCGATGTAACATAGCCCTCAAACTTCTGCTAACATGAACTAAATGGACAGTTTGAAAGCGACTTTAACATATAAGCACTTCGGTAACAACGAATGTATTTATTTGGATTTAACGTGCAATAAAATGTTTATAATTGTTATTAAAAATTAGTTTAATTAATTTCAATTAAATTTTAGTTTTTTATCATTTAAATAAATTTTATTTTATATTTTTCCCTTTTTTATTTTAATTTTATTTAAATATAATTTAATTATTTTATTTATTTTATTTTATTAAATTTTTGTTTTTACACAATCTTATAATATATTATATTTTTTAGTTTAATTTATTTTTAATCTTCTTATTTCTTTTTTCGCTTAAACTTCCTATAATTTTTTCAACCTTGAATAGCAATTTTAACAACATTGTTTGTTGTTTAATCACTGATGTACATGAAATTTCACTTCTCAATGCCAGTATGTACATACATATGTATGTACTCATATAAACGTCTACGCTGTGTTGCGCTTAAAAAGTGTTTACATTTTAGTGTAAACAAAATTCAGAAATATTTAAAAATATTCTCACTTCTAATTGGTATTTGTTGCACTTAGTGGTCGCCGAAGTATCGTAAATAACAACAATATGTACGAATTGTGAATTTTCATTTGCTTAAATTTTCCTAATACATACATAAGTAAAATCAAAAGGTGAAAGATTTGTGTGCATACAAACATACATGAAGGTATTGTATATTGCAATCAGCAAAAAACACTCCATTTTTAATAATAATGCTATAAAAAATAATAATAATAAATAAATTTGTATATTTTGTTGGGTGTTTTCAGTTTTTTATATATATATTTTTTTTATTTTATATTCAATGCTATTTTAAATATTTTTTAAATAGTTTACAACAATAAAATTAAATATATAGAATTTTAAAAATGAAAATGTTCGGAAAAATAAATTAATAAAATTTATAAAATAAATATAATAGTTTTTATTTATTATAATTTTTTTTTTAATAATATTAGTGATTTTTTAATTTTTATTATTTATGTACGACATCTTTTAATAATCTTAAATTTTTTTTATTATTAAAATAATATTTTATTTTGAATTTTAGTTTCATGAAAAAACATAACCTCAATTCACTAACTTAATTTAATAAGAATTTGGCTGCAAGTAAGAGTACGCCACCAACTAACGGTAACAGACAATAACAACTTTCTCTATGTACTCTCGCATCCCTTCTAAGAGAGCACTTTATACTCTTAAACCCATACACTAAGAGCAGAGGCACGTTTGCCTGGAAAACCCAAGGAATTGGCCAAAATTATAAAAACCAAAACATTTGCGGCCAAGTTGAGCAGTTGAACGGCGGCCGTAACGGTGGTAACACTTCGAAGAGAAAAAGAAAAGCGAAGAAAAAATTATTATTTCTGCTAAAAGTGCGTAATAAAAGTAAATAAATATACGCACTTACAGAGATATATATCTGCATATGTATATTAATATACATATATGTTTGTGTGTATGTGTAAGGATACGCGTTGATATTTTTTTGATTAAATTGGTTAAACAATTTGGGTTGGAAGGGGGTTTCGGGTGTGAAAATAATATAATTTTTTATGAGCTAATAAAAAGTTGGGCAAATAACTATTTGTAGACAAAAAGAAGACGAAGAAACGTTTAAAATAAGTGAATGAAAAGAATAGTCTTAATGTGATTTGAGCAAATAAATACACAAAAAAAAAATAGCAAAACACAACAAAAAATGATAAAAATAACAGTTTATAGTTTGATGCAAGTGTGTGTGTGTGTGTGTGCTTGTGTTTGTGCTATAAAAATAAATTGCGGTTAAATGCCTCAATGAATTTCCTCTGGATTTTCCGACAACCTGCTACACCAACAAACAGCTACAAGCTGGACGTCGACTACAGTGAGGTGCATGATAAATACCAAAACAGTACAACAATAACAACGTCACAACTATAAATAAATAAATGATATAAATACAAAATATTTCCAAAATACTTAAATACATTTTCGCTCTTGGTTGACTATACGAGCACGGACGTGTGCGTATATGTGTGCAGCCACTTATGGCATACCATATGCACCATATGGCAGTGTGAAGTGCTGCTTTTGGAGCATTTAGCAAAACTATAACAACAAAAAATGGACAAAAATATGCATAGATATGTACATATATGTGTGTTCATGTTTCACATTTCAGCATTCGATTTGATTGAAAATTAATTTAAAGAGCGGTATTTCTGACTGAAATTTGATGTGTGAAATTTAGTGAAACTAATAAAAAGTGGATGGAAAATATGACAAAAAAAAAAAATAGCTCTGGAAAGAGCCTGAAGCTTTCTTGACCTTCAGCGGTCCATTTTTAAGCAGAAGGTACTCACATATATGCACTTGTAAGAGCTTACTCGAGCTCTTCTCAGGGATTTCGAAGCGACCCGGTAGTTCATTGTACTCATCCTCCGAAGGATGACGGCTTCCATTTCCCTAGTAGTAACGATTTTCCCTTAAATGAAACGCCTGAGAGCCCAAGTTCTTTGGGAATGGGCGATACTTCTCCAGCAAGTTGCGTGCTTTACGGAAAGAGGTTTAGCCTTACTTTCCTCCTTTTCATTAAGTTTCCCCCTGATTTAATTACGAAAGAGAAGAATCCACCAAACTCCAGCTCAGAGACACAGTGAGCCACTATCCTATAGCAGATGCTGATGAAATTCGAATTACAGCTCCCTGTCTTGTGTGACCCTCTCTAAACACTTTCGCCATATGAAAATTCAACAGAACAAGACCGTCTTAACTGGATATTTTGTGTATTCAGTACACATGTCGAATCTTTAAGTACAAATGCGAGTATGTGCCCGTGTATGAGATGGACGTCGTAGATGTCCTCACGGCAGCCAGCAGAAAAGAACACAGACCTAGCACAAATGGATCTCAAAGACATCCTCTTTGCTTTCCTAATGCCGGACTTGCACGTTCGTTGACTTATTTTTTAGGGGTCTGGAGACAAACTCCCCCTCCACAGGATGGACAGGGATATTTAAAGACTTAAATCTCAGATTCTCCTATTTTCTTCTGCCCTATTTGATGAGGCTGTCACTGATTTTTTATATATGTACATATGTATAAATCTTTCCAGCTTACAAATTAACACAGAAAATTGAAGAATAATTTTCGAAAATTTTTTGAACTGAACTTGAAAGAAAGTACAAAAAAAGTAAAAATGATTACCCAACAACATTGAAGTTCATTGAAAATATAAAAGCAAAAAAAAACAAAAAATAACAACAAAATGTTTATAAAACTATAACAAAAGGAATATCCCCTTAAAAATACCGCGCCACACTCCCGAGCGGGAAACTCAAAAGGAAAACCCCCAAAAAACAACAAAACTCCAACTTCAAGTCTCCACACGCCAACGTCCCAGCCGGCGATGCTTTTGGAGCTTATCGAATATGCCACAAGACTGCTGAAGAACAACATGACAACAATAATATTGGCTGCTGCAGCAACAACAACAACGGTTACAGCAAATAATATTACAACAAATTTCACCTCCAACACCACCTCAACCAACTTCACCTCCTCTGCCTTCACCACATCCGCCACAACATCATCATCATCATCATCATCACTCTCCACAACACACTTTGGCGCGATGTTACCGGATCGACCTACCACTACTGCCACCATTGGCGCAAGCACACATCCCGCCCTGGACGACTTTAACTCTACACTCAAATCGCTTTTCAATCGAACCGTGGCCAACGTGGCTCAGTCTAATTTCAGCGATCACAGCACGCCCTACACAACCCTCCTATCGTCTGCAAGTAATAGTTTTGTCGGTTCAACGACACTGTTGCCTCCCGCGCCCACAGCTCCTGTTTCGCGTTACGCAATGGAGGTGACGACGTCTCTGCCCGTGCAAACTATCGCGACATTCATGTCTGCGGGGAATAAGAATCGCGCCACAATAATTGTTTATCCCACAGGTGAGTCTCATATCTATGTGTGTCATGTGCAAAGCCTGGAATCTATATGAAAGCCTGATATATCATTGAATTAATGGAATGTTTGAGCGAATGTGTGCCATGTATGTCTGAGATGAACTTAGACTACGTTGGGAAGAGTTCGGACGAAGTCCTCTTGCCCACCTAGTTCGAGAAATTCATTTGCTTCACATTATGAGTAAGCCTATCAGAGTTTCGCACTCAAGCTAAGTAAGCAAGTATAGATTGAGTTGGAGCGAATCCCTCTATGGGGTGGCTCGCAGATTTCTATTTTGCGCTGCAAAGTAGCTCCGAGCTAAGAGGATCTTCCCAGTCTCGAAATCCCATTAAGTACCGAATGCTTTGAGCTGCAATATTGTATACGGAGTTGAGACTCCACCTTATTTTTTGATAAGTTTGAGGGGTTATGACCTTCAGTCCATTTCGCCTAAAGACGAAAAAAAGTTTGGTGGGATTGCACCAATCACTGTGAACTGCTTGATACTCCTTGATGGCTCTTGGCCTATCTATAGCAGATGGTGGCCGAAGCGTCGCGTTAATGAATTTCTGGGTCTCTCTCTCGGCTTTCGCGCGGTCGACTTTTGTCTGATCTCCTCAAACTTTAGAAAATTTAATATTTTTTATGAACCGCACTAGGGCACCGCCTTTTCCCGCCGACCACATGATTTCAGACAAAATTTTTTAATTAAAATGAAGTGTCAAATTACTGCGTCACTTCAGTGGAATCGCGTACAGAGCAGCTGCTCACAGAAATTGAATGAAATTGAAAAAGTTGAGTCAAGCATGTTGGGCTGAGAGCTGAGAGCTGCGTGTAATTTGACAATAACAACAACATGAAATATAATAAAAATCACACACATTTACCTAACTTGTCAACCGAGTGAAGTGGGGCTGGGTTGGATGTAGGCAGGAAGTCAAGCAAGATGTTAATGAACTCTTTCGCAGCGGAAAGTTTTCCCACCGGCTGAGCCACTACGCCACCTGAAGAGCCTTTAAAGGGCCCACTTTACTTACCCATCCCACTCTTTCCCCTTCCACGTTAGCCTTTATTTGGAGTGGGTAACAGGAAAAAGGGTTTGGCTTAGTTTCGAAGACAACCCAAATGCGCTTAGGAAAACTTTTTATTACTGTTTTTTTGTTTTTTTTTTGGTTTTCCTGTTTTTCACTCGAATAGCGTGGCCTCCATATGTTTTGGCAGAGTTTTCCTGACAAACTTTTCGGCTCATTTATGCGTGTCAAGCATAACAAAAGCGCTTGCGAGTCAGCGGAGCGTCTCTTCTTAGATACCAGCCTCAGTCTGCGGCGGAGAGCGCCTCTGCTTCTTCTTATCTTCTTATGCTTGTTACTGTATGTGACTTGCTTAGGCAGCTGACACGCACTTTCCTGTTTCGCTTTTGACTAAACAAAAGCAACTTTGCTCATTAATTGCCCCGCTCTGCCGCTCCTCGCTGAGTTTTTTGGCGTAAATTGAAATGATAAAAGGGAAAAGTTTTTGAAGAACACGACCTACATGGCAGATCAAAACTAAAAGACGGAGAGGAGGGGACTCCATGAACTGAGGAACAGCTGATCAGGTTATCCATGCGCCCAATCGGAAAATCGGAGTAATTCATGCGGAAGAGATTTTCATCGTTTTGACATGATTTTGACAGGCTCAAGTTGACAAAAACTTTTCGAAGTTGTGCATGTGTGTGTGTGTTTGTGTGTGTGTGTTTTGTGGTAAAAAAGAACGTGTAATAAATCACTTCTACGAGTAATGAATATTTCTAATTGTTTTCATGCTCATTTGAGTGACACTTTTGGGCGATTGATTGATTGATTGATTGATTGATTGTCTGCTATGACAAGCATAGGTTAACTTGACTTGACGGAATAACAAGAATTTATTAAATATTTTCAGTGCAAATATGGATAATGGGAAAATAAATACGAGGTGTGTTCAAAAAATATCGCGAATTTTGTGTTTTTTCAAAAATTATTTATTTATTCAAGAATATCTATTTTGTCCCCTTCAAAGTAATCCCCACTTGTGCCAACGGTTTTTTCTATCTTCGAAGCACTTCAAAATGTGGATAATGGTAAAATAAATATTTGAAATCGCAAGAAGAAAAGTTATCTTATGAAATAAATTCAAAAGACTTCGGCCAAATGAAAAAAAATATATAAAACTTAAAAATAAAAAGTGTAAAAATTGAGATGAAAAATGTTGGTACCGAAAAACTAAAAAAAAAAAATCAAAAATAAATATTTTAAAACTCAAATTCTGGCAGCCAACGTGAGTTTCTTTCAACTTCTCGCAAATATGTATGAAAGAAAAAGCCGCAGGGAGGTTTCGTCAATTTAACCACAGGTCATTACCGTCCACACGACACTAACCACCTCTTCACTTTTCTAACCCCCTTCTCCCTTTGATCCAAACCAAATCCAGCCTGCACCTGAGCGGGGTTAGTGAGCCGCAACTACAACAACAACAACAACTACAGCAACCATAATCTAAGCCAGAACCGAATAATTTGTTTTATGTGTTTGCCATTTGCGTATATATTTTTGTTGTTCTTTTGGTTATTTATAATGATTTAATATAAGTACTTATTATTACTTATTTTAATTTGATTATATATTATTTATTTGTTTTAATTTATTATTGTTTTTAATTCCACTTTCTTAATTAATTAATTTTAAATTTTTTAATTTTAAATTTTTATTTTATTTTTTTACTTTATTTTGGTTAACATTTTTTTTACTTTCACTTTATTTTCTTTGGTTTCATTTAAGTTTATTTGAATTTTTTGCATTTGAATTTGTTTTAAATGAATTAGTTAATTTTAATTTTTTTTTATTTTAGGTTATTTTATGTAATTTTTTTATTTAATTTCACTTCAAATTTTTGTATTTATTTTTAATTTTATTTTGTGTTATTGTATATTATTTTGTTTCATATTCTTCCATTTTAGCGTAATAAACTTCATTAATTTTAACTTTTTTATTTATTTTTGTTGTGATTTTAATAAATAATAATAAAATATCTTTTATATAAAATCAAGTTTTAGTTTCTATTATTTTTTAGTTATTTCTCTCGTTTTTTGATTGTTGGTCTGTGTCATAAGTACTTGTTTCGTTTGATGGTGTGCTTTTCCTCTTTGTTGTTGGCGCTCATTTGTTTCAGTTGTTGCTATTTAACCTTTTCAGTGGCATTTCCTCCCGTCTCTGTTCTCCTGCACTTTCTTCGTTTTCTAAATAAATTTCCTTTTTAAAGATTACCAAGCACACTAGCGTAGAAATCATAGCTTGTTTGAGTGTGTGTGTATGTGTGTGTAAGCGTGCTCGCATATTAAATTCCCAAATGAAAAATTTACGTAATCTATCAACGCACGCCAGCTGAACCATAATAGTCACACACACACATACACACTTACACACACACGTGGGAACTTGCAACATATTTGCATGCATACTTTTGCTTACTCGTGTATACACACGCATATACAAATACTTACACACATTCTTCGCTATTTTACAACATGCATTCATACATGCATTCTTACAGTCGCATGTGAGAGTGTGTCTGTGTATGTGTTTTTAATATTTTTCCATTTTTCTTTATTTCATTACATTTTACTTTACTTTGTGCTTCACTCTCTCCCTTTCTCACCGAATCGCTCTCTCATTGTTGCGCGCTTTATCACATATGTTGCTGTAAGTAACGGTTTGTGCTTTTTAGATTTTATTTCCACTACATACGCACAGACTAACATATTCGTGCACTTGTCTCTTGTGTTCCTATGCCCTCCTGGCTTGCCTAAACTTATCTATTGCCCCAACTGGAAGGGTTGGCCGTGGCGTATACGTAACCTCAATTTGTTTGATGTTGTTTAGTTTATTAAAATGTAGTTAATATTAAACTTTACCCCAGTGGGCCTGCTGATAGGTGTTTGCATACATATAATTGCTATTTTGGATTCAACGTTGATGATATATGAGTGTGCGTATGTCGGTATATTTTATCAGCTTTTGCGATGTTTTTTGTGTAAATATTTTATTTGACCATTTGGTAAGGTTCCATGGAATGAGTAAATCCCAAGAGCCCTTGCCGCTCGCCTAATGTTTGGTATGTCTCCTAAGCGATTATTTCTTAACGGATTGTGGCTGTAGAGGGTAAATACCAAAGAATGGAATGAGCACGCTCATTACAAGTTTAGAGAGAATTTTACCACCAAAGCTTGTAAGAAAGGCTCTCAGACCCTTGAACTCGCACATTTTTTAAGGAAACCTCCGTAGAAAGACCCGCGAGCTGCCAGGGAAACATGATGGGTAATCTATAAAGCTTCCCCCTCTGACATCATTCTTTCATGAGGAGGCTTGAGCTACCGACTCAGGGGTATTTTAGCTTCACGTCGGCACAGAGAAGACTAGATGAAAATTTCCACCTATGAGTTGCGAGGTCATTCAGAACCAGAGTCGAACTCAAATGGTAAGAGATTCCAATCTCTGAATGGCAGCATTACGGTGGTTATCACGCTAGATATTTGGCCTTCTCACCAATGTCAATATCTGTGGAAGTCGTTCGAACGACTGATTGTCAAGTACTTAAGGAATTAAGGTTCGTTGAATTCAATCACCAAATATAAAAGCAATTTTTTTCTACTTTGGGTCCCTTGCAGAATCAGTCTTTACTTAATGCAAGCCAACCCCGTCTTCTTCCTTTTGGTTCCCTTATCTTATCTCTAGACTTTTGTTGCGATGATCGATCTTATCCATGAGTCATCAATGCTTTTCTCACATTCAGTGCTGCTTCAGTGCTGCTTCAGTTCAGCTTGAACCAAAATCTTAAATAAATAATTAAATCTCCCAGTAACTTTTCCGAAGGGTTGAAAGAATGACAAATTGAAAAAAGTTCCAAAAGTAAAAAAAAAACTTTCAATCCGAACTATATTTATTGTTTATCAGCCATCAATGGACGGTTTATCAACCGGCAAACAGAC